TGCCAGCACAACTGAAGGAAGCCATTTGCAAAGAGATGGAAATAACTGCCCCATAGAAAACGCATGCTGAGGAGGGCACCATAACTGCATTTGTGCTGTGTTACTTCAGAGGAGCAAACAGAAGAGGAGTAGAACACAGAAACATGTTGTCACAGGGGCTAGGACTTAAGAAGTTAGAGGATGCATGGATTGCCCTACGATCCCCTTCCTTCCTCCTTTCCCACCTTCCTTTGTAGTTTAACAGTGGGAAAAAAATGAGATTGATCCACAGTTTCTCTTACCACAGTTTGTGGATTCCTTCCTCTTGGTGTCATTTGACAAGTTCCCATCTCCTGCATGTTTCCTGGACACCAGCAGTGGAATCTGTAAGCCTGGCCACATGCAAGCTTGATTTTTGTTTCTATGTCTACAAAATGTGTAACGTTAGCCGTGTCCTCCCTTAAGCAAGTGTCATCTCTGGCTTCTCCTGGCTGCAGTGGCAACCATTACTAGTGATCACTTACGTCATACTAACTTAGGTTATAAGATGATGAGGCTTTCATTCCATCATGCATGGAATAATAATTCCACAAAGAGTGTTTATACTTGTCTTACAGTTCATGTATAGATGATAGGCCAAATGCCTGATTCTGTGCCTGTTTTTACCAGTTTTCAAAAGAAGTTTGCTATCCAGAATACTTCAAAATAATCATTTTGTTTTTAGCTTAATAAACTATGACCTTAAATATACTCCATGTGTTTAATCCATTGCAGAAAATTCTCACTGATATAAAAAAAAATGTTTCTTCTTTAGTTCTGAGGCTCTTGAGCTGCCTCAGTCACCAGGAGCTTGTTGGTTCCTACACTGCGATTTTTCTGGTTCCTCTTTCATTGTGTTTAGTTTTATCTCTGGAACTGTGTTTCTCTGGAAATCTTAGTTTTCATTGAATAATGGAAAATAGTGTTCAGTGGTGACAATCTGGTGCTAAGCATTAGAATTTTACTTAATCTCTTTCAAGGTACAGACCTAAGTTAGATACCTATGTTTTCTAAAAATCTTAGGTTCCTCGGATGCTTCTCATTCAAATTAAAATTTAGACCAAGCTTTCATTTACCTTAGTTATTGCTTCTCTCTCAATGAAACAATCAGGGGAAAAAACACCAAGATAATTATTCATTTGCTTCATTCCCCATGTGTAGAGCATTTCAATAACCGATCATGTAACATCTAATATGGCCTAAAAGGTCAGGATAGAAAGATCAGTTGTTGACAGGATAAAGATATGTATTCTGATGAGAACAAACAGCATGTGGGAGAACCCAGTGTCTTGAGAACGCATAGCTCACTTAGGAAAGAGCAAATCTGTTCTCCTACAGGAGAATGATAGGTCCCAAAGACAGAATGGAACTGGAAGATATTTGATCTCGTATTCAATCTGCATGCATTAGAACACCAACCAGATGTATGAGCTCTTTCTTGTTTCATTTCCTTAGATATCCTACATTTACTTTTAATAAAAATAAAACATTTTCTCCTTTGCTCTACTAAGCAGAACTTGGATATGAAAAGGGAAAAATTGCTTTAAGAATTTCTACACTTTATTCTAAAGCAGTCTCATGAAAATACCAGTTAAAGTACAGCTCAATGATTTCCTGACATTTGAAGACGCATTTGCGTATTAAAGAATCACTGCCACGTTCCTTTTTCTCCCCGCAGAGGACAAGGTGTGGACCATCGTGTCCCATGACTTGCAGGTGCCAACGACCGTAGTTGGCTACACCCCAGAAAAGTACTCAGTGACCCAGCTGCTCTACAGTGCATCCATGGATCAGATCAGTGCCATCACAAGCAGTGCCGAGTACTGTGAGCAGTACGTCTCCTATTTCTGCAAGATGTCCAGGCTGCTGAACACCCCAGGTAGGCTGTGAATGGAATGTTGCTTTTAATGACTATCTCAGCTGTGTCTGAAATGGAACGCACAATCCAACAGGTATAGCTTATTATCATAGAGTCCAGCATTCCACGGGCAGATAGCTATAAAGAAGCAGCACATCATCACGTTGGCTTGTTTTCTGGAGAATGGAGTTATGGATGTATTATTTGCAAAGAATTCCATTACTTTAGGTTTATGGATTTTTCAGCAGTATGTGCATATACTTGTTTCTGTGTGTGTGTGTGTGTGTGTGTGTGTGTGTTTCTGATGCTTAATTATCACCAGTTTGCCATGAACCAGGTGAACTCTTGATGTTCCCAGAGGAAAATGTTGAGAGGATGAAGAAATAAAGATAAGAGATGAAAGCTGAGGTCAGGTGGTGCCCTCTCTCTCCTGATGGGCGGAAAGGACCTGCTGAACTACCATAAGGGCGATTACTTATGCATTTGACAGTTAGTAGCACACACATGGTTGCCTAGTGACTAATGATTGGAATTGTCCTAGCAAGGTGTTTTAGGACTGAAGCAGCTTGATTGCTTTAGGCATTCTTCATTCTTTAACAGGCTTTGTTCCCACATAAGAGACCGATTTCCAGTTTGCAGCTTCAGCCACTCCACCAGTTCTTTGAGCAAAACTTTGTCAGAACTACTTGTTAATGTTCAAGTAAATCCCTTACAGTTCTTCATGTGTATTGAATGTAAAGTCAAAATGTTCGGAAGTGTTCTGAAAGTAGATCACATATAGAACAGCGACGGAGTTTAGCGCTCTTTATAGTCTAAAATAGAGCTTTGTAGTCTAAAGTAATTTAATGGTATCTGTTTGTCTCAAGAAGCCCAACCTGGATTGTCCCAAAGGGGCCACTTTTAGCAATGTTTGTGGAGTGTGTATATATGTGCATATGTGTGTCATAAGTGTATACACTCATGTGTGTGCAAAGCTGTTTGGGCAGGTGTGCAAAATCCAGGGGTCTCAAAGAATATATTGGAAATAAATTTGATGTAGAAAAGGCCCATGTGCTCGGGGGGTCCTCATGATGAGGACTGAGGACCATGACTTTGGCCTATAGCACAGAAGGAAGCATGTTCTCTGAGTCAAGAAAATAGGGCTTCGTAATTTACAGCCTTCCATTTCCCAGGTATGAACAATGAGAGTTAAATTCTTTTCTTTAAAAATGGTTTTAAGACTGGGCGTAGTGGCATGCACCTGTAATCCCAGTGTTAGGGAGGCTAAAAACAGGAGGATGACTATGAACCTGAGCTGTGTAGTGAGATCCTGTAGTCCCTGTACTAAATACAATTTAAAAAATGGCTTTAACTTATAAATTAAAATTGTACATATTTCTCGTGCATTTTAGAAGTTTTTAAGAATGCAGTATAGTGTTAGCCAACTCACCATGTTGTGTGGCAGAATGGATCTCTGGGTCTGAAGTCCCACTTTCCAAGGTTGTCTTCTGTTCCAGCAAAAACCATGATGCCTTTCTCGTGGGTACAGTGAGAATTTAATGGAGTAACACATTAAGCATGTATGGGGTCTGATTCATTTAAGGACAGAAGTAGGAAATGGTATATTGATTTTTGAAAACTATTAAGCAACTTTCCGAGTGACATTGTGCTGTGCCAGAAATGAATGGGCTGTTTGATGCCCAAAATGAATACTGACTTGGAAACAGTATTGTTGGGGGATGGCTTATAGAAGCAAAGTAATAAATAATGTTCTGATGTGTTTATTGCTTCCTGCATGCAAAAATCTTGTGTTACATTTGCAGGCAGCTTATCCTAAGCACTCTAAGGAAGTGAAATGTGCAAATTCTTGATTCAGAAAGGAGTGCTCCTGTTGTTTAGAAAAAGGAATGATCGAGACTGGGATGTTGGGGTAATGAGTCACAGGAACAATCCTTTAGGTCCTAGAGAAGGTGAGACCAGCCAAGGAGGGAATCCATGGGCAAGTGCAGGCATAAATAAGGCAATGGATGAAGACACAGTGGAAAGTAAATGCTGTGCTGAGACCTGAGACTCCACCCTGGAGCCCAGTGCCACTCATACATGCACCTCATCAGAACAAGCTGCAGAAATTAAGAAAACACGCACTGCAGAGCCCCATTGCCTACATCTTTGAGTAACTCTGTGGTGGGCTCAAGAATTTGCATTTGTATTGAGGGCTGTGGAATGTGTTATATCCCCCCAAAGCTCAGATGTTGAAGCCCAAACCTGCAGAGTGACTGCATTAGGAGATAGAACATGCAGGAAGTAATAAAGTTAAACGAGGTCATGGTAGTGGCATCCTAGTCCAATAGCACTGGTGGCCATAAAACAGTAAAGAGAAAGAAGTCTGTCTATACAATTTTAAGCAAAGAAATATAAAGATCTGATGAGGTGATCCTGGCCAAACTGGTCTGGAGACCCCTATTTGATCCCTTTGTGTGCTGTGATGGGAAATGGGAAATCTTTAAGGTGCTCATAGCCCTGCAGATTTTTCTGTTACCCTTCACTTCTTTGTACTAGGTCCTGTTTCCAGTGCTAGGTATTGTCAACCAGGGACTATGGGAAATGAAGGATAGGAAGCACCACTGATAGGCCTCACCAGCTAGTCTTCACTGTACTCAGGAGGTAGGGCTCCCTGCTGAGTGGTCCTCCTTGAGGCTTGCCTCACAGATGTGTTATAGCTCTTCTGTACTGTGGTAGCAAGTTGCTGGCCACAAACACACTTAGTCCCTTTAGCTTTATTTTCTTTACTTTGTTCCTCTCTTCTATTAAACTCTAGTTAAGTTTTTATCACTGTAGTTTGCTCTAGTGTTTTAAGAGATACAGTGTGGCAACCCAGGAAGTTAAAGGTCTAGTTGGAGAACAAAGCAGAAAGTGAGAAGGCAGCTCACCCTGTGCCTCTGGTCTTGGGGTTTATCTCAATCCTTCCCTGGTTGATGTCCTGATACAGGGGCTCCTCGTTCCAGCCACCAGGAAGCCTCACACAGCTTTTACTCTTTTTCACAACATGGTACATACGAAGCTTAAGGACAAATAAAATGAACTTGTTTAAAACAATGTTTCTTGCATTTTCTAATATACTGCAGACTTTTTTTCAACCACCAGAAACCCTTACATGGGAAGAACTACCAGAATGAAATCAAGATTGAATTTTTAATCTGCACAAAAAATACAGTCTTCTTTGTATTTGCAAATGTGTGTGGATTATTATCATACTTCAGTAACTTGTGTTAACACTAAATTCACCCTTTGCTTCTTATCTTCTGCACATGCTACCCATATCAAACCCTTTCATGCACATACCCTCTGTTCTTACTGCATCCTACTTTGAATAAAATATAGCCTTATAGTACGTTGTTCAACCTTTGGGCAATTGTTTCAAGGGAGAGCCATGAATTGGGATCTTAAGGTCACTTGCTATGAAACTAGCTCTGTGGCACTGTGCTCAGGCTTTGATAGAACTTGGTTGGGGCTCAGAAATGGATGCTTTTGACAAACAGCAATAAGTAATGATGCAAGCTGAACCTGAGAAACACTGTCGTTAGTTTATGACGCAGTGGTGTCTCACGTGGGAACTCAAGGTGTTAGGCTTTCACGTGAGAGAAGATCAGAGAGGAGATAAGGGCTTGTCTGACTGATGGGAACAAAATGGGGTATATAATTACCTATTCAACAACTACAATGTGTTGGCTTGATCGTATTTTTAATCCATTTGCTACAGTGGCCTCTAGATATTGGAAAGTGAATTTCAGCCTCCCCGTCTAACTCATTTCCCACCGTCCCGTTCTCTATTTTCCAAGCTGAATACTCTGCAGAACAGCTGATGCAATGAAATGAGTGGTGGATGCAGCAAGTTCTGCATATTACAACGTTTCTGCTCATGTCAGAGAGGGAAAGAAGACAATTTAATAAAAATCTTTAATTTGTTGTTTTAAGGAGCTAATGTTCGCTGTAATTGGTTTTTTTCTTGCTCCTTCATGGCAACATTCAATTTTAAATATCCATTCAGTCATTCTTAACTAAGACTGAATTATATTGGAACTTCTGTAGAAGTACTTGTGACATCTGTTTGAATACAAAGTATATTCATTATAGTCATTGCAATTAAAATGAATATCAAATGGGTTTGTAATAGCTATGCGCTTAAAATGTTATTCTTTATTTTAAGAGCCTTAGCCTCCCTCCATTGTTAGTTTGGGCTTCTGTTGTTTCTAAGACACTAAAGACAAAGAGTTGATATGCTTATGGCTCTCATTTTTATTTTGATCGATGTTTATTTGTACCATTAACTAGTAAATGTAAAATTACTTATTATTGGTTTCTTGGAGCATTTATAAAGATCGTGATATATGGCGTGCGATGCTTTCCCTATTACTATTATAAATTTTAAAATGGAATTGATTTTAAAATGATTTTGCCATTCATCATCATATCTAGTCTTTTAATATGACTATTAATTCCACCGCTCTTAATCAACTTTGTAAAAGACATAGAGACTACATAAACCCAACTCATTTCATTAGACATAGAAAAGGCTCTTTAAAATAAGTCCTATCAACTTGGGAATGACAAAATTGGTTCTCATTACATTGAGAAAACTATGTTAACCACAATGTTATATCTGAACCTATGAAATACAAAAATCACTAAACAGTGAGATATACATTTGAGATGAAAACCTTAAGAACCTGAGCTTGAAATATCAGACAATGAGAGAAAATTGTGTTACATTCCACTTGTGTAAGTCTTAGCAATCCAAATATTTTTAGATCACCAAACTGTTTCTCCTTATTTGGGCAAAACTTATTAAGCTATTTTTAGAGCACTTATTTGTATATGTTAAAATGCGCTATGGTCACATATTTATTTTACAAATCATATACTTTCTAATTAAGAACTTCCTGCTGAAGCATTTATATCCTACCCATATAAAGATCTATTTAATTTAAAGGATATTAAGATGTTGTGTTCTCTTTTTTTCTCACTTTATTTAATGGTGTTTT